AATCTTCGACCTCGCTGTCTACTCCCATTCCCGGGCCCCAGTCACTGTCCGAGTCAGTCAATGGACTGATGCGGGGAGTGGGTGCAATAGTACTCATTGACACGGAAGAAGGACAGGAGTCTAGGGTACCACAATAAAAGTGTTGTCATGGGCTTATGATCTACCATCATCACCGAGCTGTACAAAGCACACAAAGAATAAATAGGCTCAACACTTGACTTCATACACCTGAAGGATTGCTCGAGATCGGATTGGGTGTCTTTTTTTCAGTTAGTCTGATAAAACTGCCCTATCAGTCATAAGATAGAGCCGAAACTGTGAGAATCAGGCTTATTTAAAAGGATTGAGTGTCAAGGATCGCAATTATTACACCATTCGACAGTGATAGCGTGGCGCCTGACAGGCGGATGGCAGCTCGATATGCCACTTAGAGGCTGCCAGTAAAGTGCCAAGCAACAAACAGCGTTCAAAGTTTAACTCGGTCCACCTTCGCCACCACCTCTGTCTCCGCGAGACCAAAGTGGAAATCTATGCTTCGGAATATAAAAAGCGACTTGCCTTTCCGAATCGGTATATCGAGCTGCCCCACGCCTACCACACTATGCGCTCTTGCCGTCAACTAATACGACCACGTTTTAAGCCACAAAATAAGGCACGCGTCAGTTTACTTTGTTACCACTCCCTCATCGTCGGCCTGATAAACCCTCGCTATGCGATCCCGAACAGTCACACACGAAAGGCAGTACTTTCGGAGTCCCTTACCATTAATGCCTTAAATGCATGGTAAAATAAGGACTAAAACAAGCTTATTTTTCTCCACAGATTGCGCACGCAGACCTGTTATTACAAAGCGATGTCTGCAGCAAATGGTCCAGGAGATCGTTCACACTGAACGCGTTCTAACGAACGATAAGAAGTGTGCTACAAAAGTCGTGAGCCGGATAATGCAACCAGTCCGTAAGTGCCTTCTGGTCGAAAAGTGCTTCAGCGCACATTCCAAGCCGGTTTCTTTGGCTGAGAGTTGATAATCAATTTTTGGTGTTCTAGGCTGCCCCGAGGCCAAAAAGTTGACCTACTGCAACGAGACCACTGGGATCGCTACTACAACGAAACTGCAACCCATGGTGGAGAATTGTGAATGCAAGAGTACCGTGCAAACCTATCAGATGCGTTGCAGTAAGTCATTCCTCCATAAAAACAACTCTACTGCCAAAATCACAATCTCATATAATGTATGCCCTTTTCTGCTCAACTTTTAGAGTGCAATCCCCAGACCACCTTCGTCCGACAGACGGCCTGTTCCAAGGACTGCAAAACGACGGTCATTCAGCAGAGGGAAAAACTGACTGCCGACGGTGTCTGCAAGCCCGAACTGATAGCTCAGGTCAAGAAGTGCTGCTGTCCCCGGCCAGCTGTTATCAGACGCAATTGTGACTCGGCCAGCGGCATGAGCAGTATTACAACTCGCATCTTTAAACTTGTGCAGGGCGAGTGCATTCCGGTGGACAAGACCGTTTCGCGAGCAACGAGTAAATGCCCATTAATAATTTCTACTTAAAACTTAAAAGTAGACATCAATTAGCCATTTCCGAATGGTTCCGCTTTCACCAATTTTCCTTCTTACGCAGTCTGTTCATCAAACGAGACAGTACGTGTGCTGAAGGAGCCCAGCGGCTGGCTGCGTCTAGAACGAACGAAAGAAGTACGAATTGGCTGCAGGTGCCACATGCGATCTCAGATTTCCCGCAAGAAATGGAGTGAGTAAAATCTTACAAATTGTACAAACCCCATTCGTGAGTAGCAGCACGCTAAAATTCACTATCCATCCGCCCTCCTCCCTCCCCCCCCTAGAATGTCCCGAAATCTCCCGCAGAACCCAGTGTGTTGAACTATCAGATCAGCAGCAGGCCTGGAAGACCGTACTGGTGATGTGGAAGTCTTCTACGAAAGAGTCGGTCTGCAGTCGAAGAGAAATCTTCACCAAATTGCAGCCCATCGTGTGTAGCATTCCACCGCAGAACATTTCAGACTGCTTCTTCGACGCCAAGCGCCACGCCTTTGTGCGACGCATACTGAATTTCAAAAGGCGTCTTGAGGGCTGCCACTGCGTTAGGGAGCCGCCAACAGTGACTTTCCAGGTCTGCAGTTGTGCAAAACCGGTTCAACGGGCGAAATGCGCAAAGTAAGTTGTTGGGTCTTCAATTTTTCAAATATTTTGCCATCATGAAAAATGCTGGCATTTTCGAAGGATTTATGATCACTCCCAAACCGGCCCCGTCGCAGGAATTAATGCTTTTGACGCATAATGAACAACCTTAAGCGAATTTCAAACTCAAATCAACTACGAAATGTAATACAACTTTATCTATATATAGCAACCTTATTTAGCGAATCCATAAATACCGAAATCGTTAACAATCGCTGTAACTGTGACCAACAAATGCAAATATAATAGTCAAACAAAGTCTCAGCAATCCTATTTTATGTCCTTACGCTAAATTACTTAAAATATATTTTTGGCATTGGATTGCAAGTATTTTCAGATCATTCTTGATTTTCCGGTGACTACTTCAGGATTTTAAGCGGTTTCAGGTTTTTTCTTTAAAAGTAGAGTTTGGTCCACGTGTTCATCAAAAAGCCTTGAAAACAGGTTACATCGTCAAAGAATTTATCGAAAAGTAATCTTTTGGATATTAGTCCTCATGAAGGGGGCCGTTTGGAGCAAATTTGTAGAGTCTCCCAAATGTGAAAACTCATTGCCGAGATAAAAGAACATCCAGGACAAAAGTCCGATATTAATATACCCAAGATCAATTTGCAAAAAACTCTCTATAATATGTTACCTATTAAGACGAATATCTGCATAAGTTACCTTTTTCCACGGTAACTTTAAAGTAAAAATAGGGATCTCAGACCGTTTTCTGATTATCCTAAAAAAACGTGATAAAATTTAGGCTGGAAATTTAAAAAATGCAGTTTTGCCTTTCCTGAGTTAGGTTATCTACTTTACGTTTGCTGTGTGTAACAAGAATGGGGAGTTTAGAAGTGCACACCCATATTTCCCTCTAATAAACTGAAGACGCAAATGCACCTTCCTGATACTCAATTACTGTGTGCGAGTATTTTTTGACTCCGTATCCCCTTTGTAACGCGTACGTCGATTCCCGATGATAACAACAATTGATATAGTACGGTACTATTAAATAAACCGTGAAGAATGAACCGGCTGAAAACCTAAAGGGCATATAGTAGTAGTAAATAAGAAAGGTTTTCGGCCACATATAACGCCTTCCTCTAAACAAGAAAAACAAACGTGTTTTGGATGACGTCTGTCCCAAACGTAGAGGAAAACCAGTTAACCATAGAAACGCGTGGCATTTTGAAGGTCAAAGTCGATGGGAATTAACAAAAAAGGGAGGGAAACAATATGCAGAAGGGAGACGGGAAGTGGATGTGGAGCATTCCAAAGGTGCTTCAGTTTCAGTTTATTTCAATTTACTTGATGAGGGTGATAGGCAATGCCTTTGAAAACCTTATTGATTACATACCGGTGCGTCATATACATCTGTACAAGTACCCTTATGATCGTCCCTATAGAAATAGTATTAACAAACAGCGAGTAGCATTATTTTTACAAATAACCTTTGTCATGTGTTAGGTCCAGTTCGTACTGTCGAGGGACAACAGGGGAAACATCTAGTTATCCAAGCGTTGTTTGAACAGTTGTAGGGACGCAACCTCCTCGACTGATTGTGGTAGGTTATTCCACCCGTATATGGCCCGTCTTTATGCGCAGCTTCATTGTGTGGCCACAGAGAGGAGGCGAGAGGTGCCACTGAAACATGTCCTCAAAGCGCAATCCTTTCTCGAGGCCATG